CGATGAGTCGGCAGATCCCCACAACCACTTCATCAAGCACCGCCGCCGAGAGGTGCTGTCAATCGCAAAACGATCACCCCGTCATACCCTTTCAACGACTCGTACCACCTGTCAACCCGTACCTCCTCTCCAGAATCTCGCCATCTATATTCGCCACCTATACTCATCAGCTTTACGCTTGTAAGCGCTTCATCCAAAACTCGCATCTCGCATCTCGATAATATCTCGCGATCATCGGGCTTATTAGATAGTATATAATATTTTATCATCATCGTCATTAGGGAAGAATTTAAAGAGATTTACTTATCTCGAATGATGATTTCTCGAATTAGGTCTATAAAATTAGGCGCAAATTAGACAAAATTGATTCTGAGATAGACAGATAGACAGGCACACACTTCATTGTCCAGAAAAGAGTAAATATTTCTCTTCTGAGTAAATATTTTATATGTTCAACCGCGTGGCAACGTAACGAGGCAGTTTAAAGGCTTAGAAAAGGCTTTTATACGACCGTAATTTCATCGCGTAAAGGCATATTCATCATCGGTCTCGCAGCGGGAACAAGACGGACGACAAATCGACGTGTGGTCATGGGAAAAGAGAGGATTTCCCTAGGGAATGCAGGACGCAGGACGAAAGGCACTCGATGTTAGATCGATCGGAGGATATTTCCATCGAGGAATGGGAAGAGCCAATGGCGAGTCGCAGCGGAGACGCAGAACGCGTCCGGCATCCCGTCGTGAGTGCGCGAGGACGAAAGTCCCGTACAAACAGAAGCGCGTCTCGCGGTCATTCTTTGTCGTAATTACCAAGAAGATAAGAGAGCGCGGAGAGGGTGAAGATGGTGGTAGCGGTGAGAGAGGGTCGGGAAAGGGAATCAGAAGGGAGTCATGGTGGAAGGTAGCGGAGCTTATAAGTGGCACGAGTAAGAAGCGGTCTTTTTCGAGAATAATGCGCGCGGACCCCGGGGAGTTGGCTTTCAGGAAAATGCTGATTGCTTCCCCGCGCGCCTCTCCTTTTCCCTTCGTACCAATTCTCCATCCGCCTCCACCTCCCTCTCCTCCTCCCTCTCCACCTTTTCTTCCTCCATCTTCTTCATCTCCTTCTCGCCCCGCCGCGCTATCAATCTTCGACTTCGTCAGCGGCGGAGATGTATAACCCACCCTTTGCGTATGCGTGCTTGCGTATACCGTCCCCACGTTCGTTTCTTCTGCCTCTTCTGACCCTCGAGCGACCCTTATCTCGCCGGTACCAACCGCCTCGTCTTCTCCTCGCACGCGTACCTCGCAAAAATCGGATGTAAGGACACGCTCATCGGTCTTATTATTTCATAATTTTTCTCCCTTTGAGCGAGAGAAAGAGGAGAAGATGTACGATTATTCGAGTGAATCAAGGAAAGCGGTGAATCGAGAGTATTCTAAAAGTGTATATAAATCATATTTTATGTTTAGTTAAGTCGAGGAAACGAGGTAGTTCAAGTTCATGTGTCAAGTAGAGATATAATGCATCAGAGTTGCGTTTTGATTTGCTTTACAATAAAAGCTTTTTACGCTACGCTTTCTTAATAAAAATAGAGTAAAGTACCGTGTAAACGCGCGCGAGACAGCATTCAAAGTCGCAATAGCCTTTGATGCCTGCCTTTTCAGAGGGCGAGCGTGAAAATTAGGTGGGCTAAAAGCGTGGGGTAACCGAGTTATTACGAATAAAAGAGAAGCGCGGGCACCGGGCGCGCGTGCGCGCGCGCGCGCGCAAAACGTGGGACGAGGATGAGAAGGTGGAGGTACTATTAAAAGCCTGTAATTAATGCGGTTAATTGTATTGCGTTAAACGAACGTCGAGTCGATAGCGAGTCCCAGCGAGACGAAATGGAAGCGGACGCGCTTTTTAGAAAACTTGGACAATTAAGATTACTGTACTTGATTGACAATTTGAATTTGATACATATGAATGTCACGCACTGTCACAGAAGGAGAAATATTGAAAGAAACCGCATACGGTAGAAACGACAATTTTTAAAAGAAGATATCATATATCATTCATCACTTTTGTAATATTTAAATAATATTTCATTCGTTTAAGAAATAACAATTATTATTTTTCATCATGTTTTTCTATTTATCTCCTTTTTTCTCACTTGAAACTTTCTACGAAATCTATATCCATTTTACATAACAATTTTCATAACGCTTAATGCGGTCTCTCTAAACGAAAAATAACTTGTTAGAACTATTATACGTATGGTTTATAATTTTTACATTGAGTCTTTGTTCATTAATGTTGCATATGTATTCACATGAGTATTTAATCTGATAGTCTATCGCGAGCTATTATTCAACGAAATTAGATTGTGGTCTTTCTCTCTTATCTAAAGAGGACAGAATCTATTATTTTCCTTTTATTAAAAATGCTCACATAACTAGTGGA